GCTTTTTATTTTTCAAGCATCTCCACTACTGTCCTACAAAGTCTAATCCCAGTGTCATGACTGGGGGGAAAAACCAAACTCTTTGTGTCTACCCATGGCATGAGGTTGCTGTTGAGGAGATCCAAAAGTGCTTTTACTACAGAAGTCTCTCAGTTGGGAAAACCACTTTGCTTTTGTATGACGATAACAAAACAAAATTTAATGCATTCCACTGCTGAGTGGTAGAGGTTGGATGTTACATATTCTTCTTACAGTGCCAAGCTTGTGTGCTCATCACCTGTGTTCAAACTGCAATTCCATGAGCAACTTTTCATAAGGTTTTGTTTGTACGTTTTTATAGTTCACAGTCTGTCAGTCAAATGTTTTCTAGTCTGGATATTGCCAGATAAATTATTCTACTTTCTCTAGGGACTGTGCAGCCAAATAAAATTACTGTTTGGTTTCAGAAAGGGTTGAATGAGTAAAAATAGTAAACAAATAAATTCAAATTTCAAAAGGGGTTGGCAGAAATTTTAAATCTCAGTGTCCATGTATGTATCTGCAGAGGTAACATGGGAAGAAAATGCAAAGATTGACTTTATTTTAACAAGCCCATGTTATCAATAATGGTGATTACCATGTTTTTTTTTCAGAGGATAAAGCAGAAACCAGTCTCAAAATGTGCTGTTTTGAGAACAGTGAGCATGCTGAAGTCAGGGATAGCATCTGGGAAGAAACCTGAGGAATCCAAATCCAAACTCGTGATCAGTTTGGTAAACTTCAGCTGTCTCAAACGTAAGCCTGACACATATATCATAAAGAAACGTGTGGCTTGGGCTGGCTTTATTTTTTTAAGCGCTTCAAGAGATATCTACAAAGCCTCTGTAAAAATGGAAAAGTACAAGGTGTACATGGATGCAAAGCAGTGTGCAATGTGCTGTTACCACCCTAAACACCGTGCAGGGCACACACCACAGTGAGAAATCCTTCATCCACAACTGCTAAGAGAGGACTGAAAAATAATGTTAGTCATGAAAGGGTTAAACTGCAAGATAGCTGCTTCAAGGAAAGGATGATCTATAATTTAAGTCCAGAGGGTGAAGCAGCTCTTTCATAATGTAAGTAAAAGCTGTTATACCGTTGGAAAAGCATGTGCACTGCCTGCAGAAGGAATGATTATTTTGGTTTTTCCATTATACTAGATTGCACAGAGGGGCTGACAAAGCAGCACTCTCTGCTGAGGAGGCTGGGAGGGGAAGAGGCACAAAGATACTGTACTAGATGAGGGGGGACTTGCTCTGCTAGCACTGCTGCTGGTTCCTTTGGCTGCCTTCTACCATATTAGCTGGGCCTATTTATCTCCAGAGTGAATTTCATTTGAAGAACAGTAATCTCCCAAGAAGATGAAATGCAATTGGCTTTAAAAAAATAAGAAAAAAGATCACACAACGCTTTGTTTCGGAGTTTGAGATTTGAATGCCAGACAGGCTCTACCATTCCTGTCATTCCTATCAAAGGCCGTGTATGTTGAAATGCTGAAGTGGAGGGACTGCATGGAAAGCAGTCTTTTTAAGAAGCTGAGGTTTTGTAAGTACAGAAGCTGAGATGGGAGTGTAACAAAGGCTCTGTGTTGTGCTGTTGCACATCAGAGCCAATAAAACCCTAAGGGGCACATCTCTAGTACCATGTCTAGCAGATTATGCATGCAACTCCAGTTGCCAGTAATGAGTTGTGTGGCTAATCTGTCATGCACAGCACTGCACAGTTCCCCTTCCCCCAAGGGGCTGAGCTCATGGCATTTTACTTCCCCCCAGGGTGCTGAGCACCGTTACAGTCCCTTCAGTTAGTGGGACAGGAAAACACTGTGTTCCACCTGGGTGCTCAGTCAGAAAACAGAAAGGAAAATCATCTTTAACAACAACTCCAGCCACCACAGACAGGGCTGTTAACCCAGCATGGTTAACATTCAGGGGCAGTTACCTATCTACAGTGACATGCCATGAATTAATAAGAGGCATTAAAAATGGCCCTAATGGAGCACAGAAAAACCTGACCCTTGTTTTATTTTCTCACTGATTTAACGATCCAAGTGTTTTCAATTTACAACTCAAATGCTTATTTACAAAAAAATTGCCAGCATGACAGAGTCCTCTTGAAATATGAAAACTCAAGTCATGCTCCAGCTCTGACAACATCACACACACACATTCTGTCACGCATCAGCTTTTGCTGTAATTGGAGCAGAGTCCAGGCTGCTGGGCTGTAGCTGCACTAGGTCTGTGAGGCTAATGTGATTACCTGCTTGTTCAAAAAAAGTGAAAGAAGAATCTTTGCCCCAATACCCACCTAGCAAAACAGTAGAAAAAAAGGTTTTAAAAATGGCTGGTTTATTTCAGCCTTCAGAAGCTGAATTTCTCAGGGTGTTCCTCAGGTGAATTTTATCAGAAGTATGAGTCTTTGAAGGTGAGTTATTAAATCAGCAGTTAATATTTATACTAATATATGTGTTAAAATTGTTGTAATAGCAGTGATGTTCCCATGCAATTATAGGACTTTGGTAATTGGGGCTTTAAGAAAAAAAAAAATTAAATACTAGGAGTTGTAGCACTAAAATCTCCAGAGTTATTTTCCCACAAATTAACAGTGTTTCAGCCTTGTGTTCATGGCCTGGGTCAGGTACAGGCTGTTCTGCACGTGGGGCTGGGCAGGCACCCAGCCTGCTGTGCTTCTCACTGCATACCCAGGCTCGCTTCCATTCAGCCCCAGCAGCTGGAGCCCAGCTCTCCAACACAAGGCTGGGAAGCGCCATCAGCTTCAATTTCCCAGCTGCTGCCTAAGACAGGAGCAGATTTTCCCAAGCCTGCAGCATAATAAGGGGTTTTGGTTATTTTTCTGCCAGCTTTGCAATACTTGGGAGATTGGACTCCCACTAGACTGGGTGTTGTACATGTTTTAAAAGAACTATCCATGCCCCTGGCAACACACATTTTTCCTACATGCATGGACAGATGCAGCAAGCAAACAAGGAGAGCAGGAGGTGGCTGTGAGCACAAACCCATCAGATAATAGAGGGACAGAGGTGCAAAGGCTGGCCAGGCCTCACGGGTGGGATGGGTGTGGAGCAGAGGAGAATCAAATGGTGCTGAACAGAGGGAAGGGGAGCAGTGAAGCAGATGTCATGAAAGAACGGGGTAGACACCAAAGGGCCACAAACCCCAAGGCACCCGTCTCAGGTTTGCTTGAAAACTGAAACTCCTTCCTTACAAGAGCAGATGAGAAGAGTATCAGTAAAAAGATGCCAATCAGTAAGAATGTCAGGCTGGGGGAGGGTGTCTGGAGAATGATGTATTTTGTCTCTCCCTCACAATGACATGTTTTGAAAGCTGTTTTAAAACAAACCCTGAGTGTTCAACGGTGGGACCTTTTTTTTTTTTTTGACAGGTTGATAGGAGAAGGGGATGGAATGTGTGATGTGTATTGATAATGGTTCACGGGGAAGAGGCATCCAAGACCCGAAACACTGGCCACATCAGGAATATTTTTATCAATGGGTTATTTGAATATTTACATTTTGAAGAAAGAATCTTCTTTGTTTGCTCTGCACACCAGGGACTTCTTGGCCAGTCTAAACAGCAAAGGTTTCTAATGTAAATAATTGTTCTTCTGCCTTGTGTCATGCATGAGGATTAGAGGTGGGAAGTCCCTCAAAGAAGAGAAGAGGGTGCCTTGAAGAAGATAAGCCTCAAAAGTGCCAATGGAAGAGGGTACATGAGGTTTTCCCCTCTGTCTCATGTATACCCGTGCACCTCCTGGGGAGGGATGCTGGGATTTTAGCGTTTTATGTCAGGTCATTTATTTTGGTAAACTGTGTATATTAGCAGAGGAGGGAGGAGAAGGCTGGCTCAGAGCATCTGTCCTTGTCACTGCACCAGCAGATACCTGGCTCCCACCTGGCAATAGCTGATATCTTGTGCACTGATGGGCTGCTCCTGCCTTTTTTTTTTTTTTTTTTCCCTTTCCCCCCCCCCCCTTAAGCTGCTTGTGGAAACTTGCTATGTTCTGAAAACAGCCACTTTTTTATGCCAGCCTTCCGGCCCAAATACCTAAGGCTTTGTGACTCTGGTGTCTGTCTCATGATTATTGTCTCAGGGCCAGTAACATTGTAAAAGTTCTGTTTCAGAAATTGTGACTAGAGCACGTCAAAGGAAATCACATTGAGATGGACTGTTCTGACTGTAAATGAGAAGCTTATTTTGCCAGGAGCTGGTCCTCTTTGCACTCCTGGGCTGGCAGGTCTTGAGCCATCAGCAGCACTCTGGAATCTTACTGGAAAATCTGCATGGGTTGCTCTTCAAGAGACTTCAGAGGAAGGAGAGATTTTAGTAATTTCAGTTAATTTGGTGAATAGCTAATGCATGTCATAAAACAATCTGAGGGCTGGAAGATCACATTGAAGTTCCCATATCTGACGTAACTTTAAAATAATCATATGCAAATTAATTATGCATTATTGAAAAGAAAAAAAACCCAAACACCTGAAATTTCTGGGGCAAGCTCTTCTTGGCGCGGGACTGAGGAAGATGATACCCATTTACCTGTGCATGTATATACAAAGAGCTGAAATAGCTCTAAAAAGCCCTCATACTAGCGGGTCTGTGCAACCTTCTCCAGCTGCGATGCCTGTGTGTCCCTGCGGGACAGGGCAGCGGGGACCTTCCCAAGCGGCGGCCGACCTTGAGCTCCCCGCTGGAGCCCGGTGGGAGCGGGCTTGGCCCTTCACCCGCGGGTTCCGGCGTGGCCTTGGCCGCTCGGGGAGGGCCCTTCGGACCCTTTCGGCGGTGGAGGGCCCGGGGGCTTCCCCTGCCCCGGCCGCCCCTTCCCCCGCGCTCCCCTCGAGGCCGGGCCGCGGTGTCCGGGCAGCGAGCGGGGGCTCTGCCCGGGCCCGGGGGCAGCCGCCCGCCCTCTCCGGCACGGGGGGCGGTGGCTCCCGTCCCCTCCCGTCCCGCGCGGGGAGACGCCGCCGCCGCCGCGGCAGGGGCGGAGCCGGCACCGGGGCATCCTCCCTTGGCCGTGTCCCTGCCGCCCGCCCGGCATCGCCGCGGCGGGCAGCGCGGCGGAGGGTGCTGCCAGCGCCGGCAGGGAGCGAAGATGCTGTCCTACAGCGTGCTGGACGCCAACGTGGTGGACGTGGAGAAGCGGAGGAACCCCTCGAAGCACTACGTGAGTGCCGGCGGGGCGCGGGGGTGCGCACGTGTGAGGGGGGACGGGACGGGCGCGGAGCGGTGCCCGGAGCGGAGCCCGCAGCCGTGCCCGGAGCGGTGCCCGCAGCCGTGCCCGGAGCCGTGCCCGGAGCGGTGCCCGGAGCCGTGCCCGCAGCTGTCCCTCCCCTCCCTGCGGGCGAGACGCCGGCCCCAGGTGAGGCGCCCGCGGGGCTCCCCGCGGCTTCTCGCTCTGGAGGTGCGGCTCTTCTTCCTCACCCGCTTTCACCCCGTTCGGTTCTTGGCCCGTTTCAAGGTTACCATTCTGAAGTTTCCTTCTGTTCCTCCTCACTAGTCCCAGGGCAGGACGGGGCAGGTCTCCCGGGTCCCCAGGCTGTCCCCGTCTTGGCCGGGGTGCGCGGTGCGGAGCGGAGCGAGGTTCGGCTGCGGCGGGGCTGGGGTCGGGCAGCCGGCGGTGCTGAGCGCATCTTTGCTCGTTCTCACCCCTAAGTTACATTCAGACCTTTTTTTGAGGGGGCAGTCTGTCTGCATGCTTACCAAGGCAGACTCGGCGTTTGGATCTCTTTTATCTCTCTTTCACCTTCTTCCTTTCACACCTTACTGCCAATAGCACAGCATTAGAGGAGAGTTTTTAACAATTTTCCCAGGCTCCTGTGTTGCAGCCTGTCATGTGGAGGTGTCTTTGCCTGAAGGAGTATGCAGCATGCAGTCAGTAGCTTTTCTCTCTCCACATTAGTAGAGAAGTGTCTTTGCTTCTCTGTCTCTCACTGTTTCTGGGTTTTAGTTGCACCAAATCCTTTAACTGTTTCTCAAGATACAACATGTATTTTAAAGCACAGAAAGCTGGATTTTTACTATAGAGATGGTAAATCCTCCAGCTTTGGTAAGGAAAAGCCTGAGGGAGTATTGTATCTGGTGTGAAATTGCTCTGAGTATACTGTGTTTCCTGGCATTGTGTGTCCGCCAGATTTCTCCAGAGCTGATCAGCAGCTGAATGGATTGTTGAAAAGATAAGGCCAAAGACTGGACATAAACCTTTATATTAGTGTTGCATATCACTGAGGTTTTTCCTCGGAGGCTTAAACCATAATCCCGTTTAAGGCTAGAGGGCACTATGCTGCTGGGAGATGCAGTCCTGTAAAGCTGAAGCTCTCATCTACTGTGGAATTAAGCATCTTGTGACCAATTCATAAACTGGAAGTTTTAGGTCTTAAATCCTCCCAGGTTGCAGCTGGACCTGTGCATTTAGTCTATTATGCCCTCACTGCTTCCAGGTGGGAAAGGCTTCTCTGGTTTTTGCAGACTCTCCTGTGGACTGACACAGCTGCAGGGTGTTATCTCACACGAAAGGTGGTGGCAATTCAGCATCAGAAAAGTACATCTGCCAAGCACCGAAATACACAAAAGAACTGGTAACAGTATCTTCCAGTCTCTTGGATTGCTGACAGAAATTGATGCTGTTAATTTCTTGTTTGCTGGAAAATGACCAGAAAACGAGGATTTAAACCCTGTGTTTACAGGATTTGAAAGAAAATATTTCCTGTGTTTACCTGTAAAACACATCTTTTTCCTCGATGATTGTTGTCATTGCATTTTAATAAACAGTAACCGAGACTGTTCCAAGAAGGTCTCTTCAATGCTTCTAGTGGCAAATTTGTTTCTTTCCCATCACCCTTCTCACTGTACACCTTTACTGATATGCTCTTCTGTACTATAGTTCCACACCTCTGTGTGCCCAGTTCTTGGCCCAAACCCCACAAACTAAATTATTTCTTTGGGTGATGAATGGTGTGTCTGCCTTTCGTCCCACTTACTTTCCATCTGTGGCTGTACAGTATTCAGCACAATGGGGTCATCTGTCTTTTGCTGGGGTAACTCACTGAATGTGGACCTATGCTGTCAAAGAATTTAATTCCCTGGGTCTGACCCATTGGTTACTGTTACTTTGGTTCTGTGCTCTATTTTAACATGAAATGAGTATTTTCTTCTAAGGTTAATATAAGAATTACTTAGGATTTAGCTCTCTCCATTGCCTGTGGATAGTTTGGAGAGTGCAAAGCTTTATGTTCTGTGCTCTATGTGGCTTTGAAGTATCAAAAAGCTTTTCTATCTCCAGCATCCATAAATGTATTCATGCCAAGACTTCAGGCCATGCAAACGTGCCTTGGCATCAGATTAATGATGTGCTTCTCTGGTGGATGGTGACCTAAGTATTGCAGGTGTTCTAGCATTACTCTCCTTTTAATTGTGATCTTTCAGGACCATAGTGGAACCTGGAGAGATGAAGGCACACCTTAGGCATTGTGAGCACGTGGAGAGGGCTAAATGTGAGTAGCACATAAGCCCCTGCACTGCTTGGCTTAGCTGCCAGGAGTCATTGCCTGGAGCAGGTGTCTTTCATGACATGAGCACAGTTTTTGTGGCTTTGACTAAAGAAAGTAGACAGGGTTACATACCCTCTGCTATGATCCTGTGTGTGTGAAACTTCTGGAGAGTTTAATACCTCACTGGAAGTTGAACAGGGCTCTGCCTGGGGGAATAGATTAAAATCTTGGCTCCAATGCTACTTGATAGGAGCCCAGCCAGTTCTCTACCCTCTTCTGGGAAATTCTTACTGGGGAAGGAGTCTGCAGTGCTTCTCTCTGCATCACAGAGCACAACACCACCTGGCTGGCTGGGGGCCCTGGCTGGCAGCATGTGAAAGGATAAACAGAAGGTTGGATCAATAACCACATGCCTTTTGTATGGTATATCCCCAGCACAAGCTACTGCTGCTCTTAAGAGCTTTTGACTTTCCAAATTAGTTTCCTATTTCTCAATACTGATAATCTTTTAAAAATGAATTTGCACTTGCTAATACTGTAAAAAATATTAAATCTCTTTGCTTTCTCCCTTCCCTTTAATTTTAACAAGAACAATATCAGGAAGGTCAAGTCTGGGTTTGTTGGAAAGACCCCTGATGCAACAGGGGTCACACATTGGCTGAGCAGTGCTGCAGTGAAGCTGGGTGGATTAGGACAGTGCAGGTAGTGGTTGAAGGTGCCAGTTAATCATTCTGAAGAGAAAAAGCTGGTAGCAAAATCCAAATCCCTTTTCTGGCCCCTGCTAAGCATTAAATAGTCAGAAACCCTCTTTTCTCAGTTGATGAGGTCTGATCTGTTTATGGGGTAGCTTCTCTGGCTTTTGGTCTGAAATTGTGATTGTCTGAACTAAGCATGAAATGATCCCAAACCAGAAGTGCATTCTGTATTTCAAAGGATCCACTGTTGATGCTTACCTCCTTCAGCCATCCATCGTGGAGGTTAGAGGACACCTCCCCTCCCCTCCCCTCCCTCTGCTCCCAGCTTATCTTCAGGCAGATAGCTTACCCTTTACCCAAATGTCTATCTCCTTTAGCAGCCCTGCAGGGAGCCTCTGCCTGCCAGATGTGCTTGATCTTGCTCCCAGGGAGATGAGATTGGGTTTGCACCTTCACCTGTTCACTGCTTTGCAGACCTGGGTGATGGCAAACATTCATTAGAAGCCAGATGATGAGGATCCCCCACCCCCTCTCCTACCACTTGCTTTTCTGCTGGGGACTGAGCACTTACTGCTGTGCATTATCTCACCAGACATTTATATGCTTGAGGTAATTTCTGAGGTCTCTTAAGTGTGCCTGTGTTATCCCAAGGGCAGGGATGGATACATCAGTAGAGATTTTCTCTTTCAGCACTGCTCTACTCCTGTTGCAGTTGGGCTTTGTGTGTTTTTCAGCTTTGTCTGGCACAGAAGTAAAGTAAAACGCTCTTGGCTTACAAGTGGCTGCTCTGCCTCCTTCCAGTTAGACTGAGCTGCACTGCTGATTTCAGTCATCTGAGATGCCTGTATACTGTCCCAGTTCCTCCCCAGGGTAATTGTTTCCTAATGCCACCTCTGAATGCCTCGAGATCTCTTGTAGGAATGTCCCTGCTGCATGGATATGGTTGCTGACCTCCTCAGGGTAGTGGCATTGCTGACTTTTAAGGGACTGAGTTCTGCTGTGTAGAGTTTCAGCACTGCTCCCAGGAGAACGTGAGTGTGCTTGTCACAAATGACCTGTTGTAAAATGTCAGCATGCTTTGAAGAAAAATCTTGTACTGCTAGGGTTAAGCTCTGCTCCTTGTCTCTTGGCTGCTCCTGCTTTTACTGCTCAGACTCGAGCAACTCCGACACGATCAGGAATCTTCATGGCTTTATTCTCTTTGCTGCAAGCTGCTCTTTATACAGTGGCCAGCACTGATGGGGAGAGTCTGGACATGGTTTAGTGGCGAGGGTCTTTGTTCCTGTGTTAGTATGCCCTGAAGAAGGAACTGCTACCTTGGGAGAAGGAACTGAATTCTTCCTGCTTGGCTCAAATGAGTTGTCCCATGCAACTTGAGGTTGCTTCAATGCAGTTGGGGAGCCCAGCAGATCAAGGAGCACTCCCAGTTCTTTCTTCCAGCAGAGCTTTGGGCTGGTAACATCCAGCCAAGAGACAGTGGTATCTGAATTCAACAGTTTGCAAAGCAAATAGCTGTCTCCAGCCTTTGGAATTATAGATAGATTATCTATCAGTAGAGAGGCAAGGTAGCTGTCCTGATGTGTGGTGGTCAAGGCAGGATGAAATAATCCAGAGGCTTTATGTCCCAGCAGGCTGCCTGCACTGGCTCCCCTGTGGTTGAGTGTGCTGGGAGAGCAGCTAAATGAAAGTTCAGGGAAAAGCAAGTCCATGAGCTGGGGACAACAGCTTCAAAGCCTCCAAGCTCCGTTTTAGAAACTATGAAGATGCTGCTATTGACTTTCACTGGGACTTGGTTGCCAGGGAGATGATGTCCTAAGAGACAGCACAAATGCTGTTGGCTGCTGACAGCTGCAAGTGACCACGAGAGCCCTGCCTGGGGTCAGTGCCTGGTGCAATTCAACTTGATGGGTTGTAGTCAAAATTACACCATTCTCGCTGCTTTGAGTTAAAAGTGAGAGGAACTGAAACACCAAATCATGGAG